CTCCAACATCCTCACTTTACAGAGAGTGAGAATGGGAAGAATGGGAAGAAACTTGCTCAAAGTTGCAGAGCCCTGCAGGGCAGAGCTGAGGGAAGGACCCAGGCCTCTGGGTGTCCCAGCACGGAACTCCTTTTCCAGTACGTGGTTGGCCTTCGGTTTAAATGGGTCCCCCTCCTGGTGCTCCAGAAATGGCCTTTGCAGGGTCAGATCTGCTGCTCCGGTCTGTCCCTGCGCAACCCCAACCCAGCAATTTGTCCCAGTCTCCCTTCTGGTGTGGTAATCTCATTCTGTGCATTCCATCTGTGAGCAATTGCAAAGCACCAAAACCCTCCCCAGGGAGGACACTGTGCCTAAGCCAGGATCTTGGCCCAACATGGGATGAGGGCCCAAGGTGTGTCCCTAGAATACCTATCCTCGGGGACTGGCATACTTCTTGGCATACAGGTACTTTGTAAATATTTGTGACAAGAACGAATGGGTGAGGGCAGGGGGAGTGGATGGCGCCTGAGAGGTGAGTCCAGATCTCCTGCTGACTTACCCAGAGTTGTGTCTAGTCTGGGAAGATAAACGGGGACGGGGCCCCATTGAGTTTGTCTTCATTCTGCCAGCAGGGGGAACCAGGCTTGTTTGTGTAGAGAGGGGGCAGGATTGGAATATAGGTTCGTTTCATTCTTTTTTGAAGTGAGAAAAATTGTCTCTAGTTAAGGGGCATACTTGCTCCAGAAAGCTGTCATTGCTACCTAGTAAAGAAATTGCACTAGATCATCTGGATATCTGGGTTCTTTTGTTTCTGAATTTAATAATTAAACCAGCCATATGTCTTTGGAATAAACAGAGGCTGTCCTGTGATAAGCTCCCAATGCTCAAGAAAGAAGCAGGGTCTTTGTGATGCACTGCTGAATTCCCTTCTGGCCTGTCACCAAACTCTGAACCCTGCTAAATACCCACCTGCAAGACAGTAAGCCTGCCTAGCCTGGGTTCTGGTGTAGTTATTCATCTCTTTCCTCACTCTCTCATTGCACAGCTCCTGGAAAGAGGTCTCTAGCGGAGTGCTATGGGGCTCTATTCAGTGCTTTTATTGGTTATGTAGATGAACTCAGCACAAGTATTCAAATGTCTCACAACTTCAGAAAGAATTAATGTGCATTGGATAGAAGAAGCAAATTTCAGAACGGTTTGCATAAGTTAGAATGGTAGAAATCAAATGTTGAAATGTTCTACAAATGCACATCAAGTTCTTTGTTTAGATTCAACACTAAAGTGAGAAAGCTTGAAAGAGAGAAAATGAAGTCTATCACATAGGGCTGCCTCCAGGTTCAGAGGGGCCATGTCTGGAGCATCGTAGCCACTCAGGAACGGGTCCTTATTACTGTGGATGAAATTTTGCTGAACTCGAGCATTTTAGGTCAGGCAATTTAGCTTTCTTCCCACTTTAAGGTGGCTGCCTTCCCAGCCTCCCCAGGGCAGTCGGTGGCAATTCAACAATTACCTTTCCTGAATGGTGTGAAGAGAGGAATTGTAGAATTGAGGGAAACCACCATTATAATCCAAGAATTTAAAATAGCCGTTTGAAGCCTGGGCAATGGAGTCAGGAAGCACCTGGCAGATGGAACCTCCCGGAAGAGATAGCATCTCCACGTGTCTGGAGGGAGAAGAGCTTTGCAGTTATTTTCTCTGAACTGTGTAGCCTGGATGCACCAAGAACTGCTTCTTCCAGGGAAGGAGAGGGCCTGGTTTTGGAGGAAACACATTTACAGTGTTTCTTTGTTTCCAGACAGCCAGTAACAGAGTCACATTGGACCTGATCCTCCTATGTCTCTTTCTCATTTTCCATTCGTCATTTTCAGTTTTGAGAATAAGCATTTACAAGGCCTCCCCTGTATTCCAGACGCTGAGTTGAACCGGATCTGGTCGTGGCTTCCAAGTCACCGTGATCTACGAGGGGAGCTGGGACTTAGACATGACAAACTGGGATGTGACTGTCTACCCCATTGGTACCCGGCAGAGAGTGGGCGCCCCCCAAATGGCTAATGTTCATCGAGTGCTTCCTGTGTGTCGGGCACCCTCCTAAAACACTTCGTGCGTATTGGCTCATTTCAACCTCAGGTGACCATGTAGCACGTACACCTTATCTCAGATTAAACCGAAGATCAGAGAGGGTAGCAGTGATTTGGTCAAAATTAGACAGCTAGTTCACAGTGGAGTAGGCCCCAAAGTCCACACACCGAACCACTGCCCCAGACTGCTTCTCCATACATATGTGTCACGGAGCACATAAAGAAGGCCTAATACATGCCATGAGAGATTCAGGCCATGCCAGGAGAAGCAAGATTACACCGTAGTGGCCCGGAGACACTTCATGCCAGATATTATGTAGGACTTGCTGAACAAGAACAGGGGTGATAAGCAGAAGGGGGAGAAGCTGTTCTTTGTAGGAGTAAAGGGATCAAACACAAATGGCCTGAATCTGGCAGTTATGGTTCTGTTAGCTGCCCGTGGGGCCCTCTCCTGCTCCACCAGCGCTGATTGGACCAGGGGTGTTACGGACTGAATTATGTCCCCCGGCAAACACATACCTTGAAGCCCTAACCGCGGGTGTTTTAGGCTGTGGCTGTATTTGGAGACAGGCCTTCTAAAGAAATAGTTAAGTTAAAATGAGGCCATCAGGGTGGACTCCAATCCAATCTGATTCGTGTCCTCCTAAGAAGGGGAGATTAAGACACACACAGAGAGAGAAACACACACCGGGGATGCACATGCGCAGTGGGGAGGCCGCGTGGAGACACTGAGGGGGCACTGCTCTGCAAGCCCAAGGGAGGAGCCTCAGTAGAAACCAGCCCTGCTCACACCTTGATCTTGGACTTCCAGCTTCCAGAACTGAGAAAGAACAAATTCTGTTGTTTAAGCCCCCGCCGTACGTGGTATTTGGTATTTGGAATGGCCGCCCTAGCAAAGTAAGACAAGGGCTGTATGACTGAGCCCAAGACAGAAGAACGAAGACTGACCTATGACCTGTGCACCTGTAAAGATAAACCGGGACAGAGCTTTGCTCTTAGCAGTTAGAACTGCGGGAACCCTGCAGAGGAGGGGGTGAACTGTGGGGGGAGAAGCTGAAAGGATACTCGTCAGGACAGTGCTGAGTCGAAGCCATGAGAGAGCAGAAACTATAAAAAAGCAAAGGGACTCACCATAGAGAGACTGAAGCAAAAGAATACCCAAAGAGAGAGAGACAAGAGAATGAGCGAGCCCTCGGCCACGGGGGTGGAGGAACCATTCCCAAGAGCAGTTTGAGTTTCCAGCGCCTTCGCAGGCTGGGCCCCAGGCCCTGCGGGGGAGTAATAGGAAACCCCGTTAACCCCAGGCACTTGGAGTGCGTGCCTGTTCCTTGCTCCCTGAAGATCCAGAGGAGCCTGGAAGCAGCGTCTGTCTCCCAGTGTTGCTGCAGGGGCCCCAGCTCCTTCCCTGTTGTGGCTGCACCATTGTGATGCAGCCTCCAGGCTGGCAGGAGGGAAAGGAGGAAGCACGCGCCCCCCACACACAGGTGAAGGGGTGCGTGAGAAGGGCCGGTGGCAGAGCGAATGGAGTGAGAGCAGGGGAGGGGAGCCTGGTGCTGCTGTCGCCTGGCCGAGCTGCTGAGGCGGGCGGTGACCCGACAGACAGGGATGCCCGGGGTCTCGTTCCCATTCGGCCTGGAAGACCTTTTGGAATCCGTGGCCATGGTGGTGCCCGGGAAATCTTAACTGGTTCTCAGCAGCAAGAGAGGAGTGTTCGGGCCTGATCAGGACGCACTACTCCTCAGGTCCCCGCGTCTGTCTGTGTGTTATTTGGTTCTCTGCTGACAAGCGCTCGGCTCTTGCTCTGTGTCTCGAGGCCAGCCTCCCGAGATAGGTGGTCTGCGGGGCAGAGCGTCCATCACAGATAATGGGTTGACGTAGTTTAGGACCGGCTGTCTTGGGCCGGGCATTTGGTCCCATCAGTGGTCCCCTGGGGCAGAGTCCTGTGGCATCAGGGTGGCTGCTCACGTCCCTGGCACCGCTCCGTGGGCACGACGGGCTTTCTGAGGCTTGGCCAGTCCTACAGTACACGTCCCTTCCCTAAACCTTAGTTTTCTTACCCTTAGCATAAAGGACTTGGGCCGCATGATGCTTACGGGTCCTCCACATTCTGTGCCGCGTCCGCTGGGGCAACATTCTCTGTAAAAAGAGGCCCGCGCTTGACTGGCTTAGGACAGAACTTTCTTTCTTGCTCACAGACTAGTGTGTGAGAGGACAGTTGGTGCAGAGAACAGATTCCCCTACAGAGTGATTCAGGGACCCAGGCTCCTCCCATCCCATTTCTTTAGGGCCTTGGAGTCCTAAGCCAGCAGATGGGGAAGGGGAAGGTGGAAAAGACACACTTGCTTCTTAGCTGTCTTGGCCCAGAAGTAACCACTGTCACCTCTGCTCACATTCATTGGTGAGCCTCAGCCCCAAGTCTGTTCCTAGAGGCCAGGGCCTGATCCTTCCTAGCAGCATCCTCACTTTATGGAAAGGGATCAGGAATCCTGGTGGACAGCTAGCCGGTTCTGCTGTGTGGGTGGGGTTCAGTTTTGAACTTGTCTCCAGCCTCTTCTCCTGGCAATGGGTGGCCTTCTCCAAAAAGAATCTTGAGGCCGGTGGTCTTAGTTTCCTAGTTTATTGCCTCGAGGCAGAGTCCTACTTTATTGCCTATAAAAATTTTTATAGCTAGCCCAAGAGGCCTTAGCTGCCGGGCAAAGTTCTGATAGCTCAGGGGGCCCTGTGCCCATCCCAGGGGGCTAACACAGATAGCAAGTGTCCAGGAGAGAGGAACGAGGAGGTAGTTCCTGCTTTGTAAATGAGAAAGCAGAAGGGGAAGAAGTGCAGAAAAATAGCCAGTTGTCTTCTGAAACAAGGAAGACGGCCACCTGCCCGCTTTCGATTCTCTGGTAAATATTTGACTGGATGTTTGCCTTTTCTCTGGGGTTTTTGGGTGCTGTGAAGAGAACTGGGCAGAACACCAGAATATCAGAAGCAGTCAATAACCAAGAGGCTGGAGAAGCTCGAAGCACAGCCCCGAGAAGCAGATTGTTCACTGGGGCCACATGCACCGCTTCCCCGCTGAGATGCTTTCCACAACCTCGAGGTGAGTTATTGGGGTCAGACTGAAGACGAGCCTGCTGGACAACTGCATGTTCTTGGCAACTGTCTTCTTTGATGTTGGCGACTTGTGGAAACTGGCAGAAAGGCATCAGGTTAGCTGACTTGTAGGTAGGCTGGCTAGGTGGACAGGAACCACGGATGGGTTCCTGGGTCAGTGAACAGATTTCTGTTTATCTCTAGTCGGAGCCAGAGTGGAATTGGAAGAGCCCAGGTATGGTGTTGGAGGAGCTGGGTTGGACTCCTGGCCCTTTAGTTTCTGGAAAATCTGAGTGCCTCAGTTTCCTCATTTATAAATCAGGTGTAATAACCCTGACCCACCTAAACCCCAGCTTTGGGAAGATCACATGAGGAGAGAATGTGAAGGGACTTTGAGACCTGACAGTCCGGTCCAAATGCCAGCCATTAAGAATTCTCACCCCAAATCATTGGAACTTAAATATTTCATCTTAAATGATCTAAGAATGGAAAAGACTAGCCCAAAATATGAGAGAAAGTAGAACTTTTACTTTCTGGTGTCCTAGTGTGTCTGGTTAGGTTGTCGAGGGGGTGCCGTGGAGGGTGAGAGGCAGGAGAGGAGTCGTGGACAGACAGACATGCCGGGGGTCACTTGGGAAAGCAGATACAGGCTTCCCCACTGTCCGCTACGAAACCTTTCAGAAGCCAGAATGCTATAAAGCCATTATGTGGAAGAACTTTTGAGTGCTCCCAGACCCCAAAATAACTGTTCTCAGGCTTTTCTGTTACCCTAAGACACATCTTGCTAACAGATGCACAAACTAAATGGAGATAAAGCACCAGGGCTCACGGACGCAGTTCAAAGCGCTGGTGGCTTGGTGGACATGTGTCTCCTGGGGTGTCTCCTGGGGAAGGGGTGTGACGGGGGTCCCTCTCACTCCCAGGGTCCCTGCTGCTTCTCTCCCGGCTTGCTGTGAAACAAACGCTGGACACTTTTTGCTTTTGGCCTTTTTTCGTAAAGGGGAAACTCCCCCGTGGATTTCTTTTGGCTAGTGGAACCAGGGACTCATGTAGGGCTTCTGTAAAAGGGAAGTGGCGTAATGTGAACTTTGGAAAAGCGGGGACGTAGCTGTCCCTGGAGCCCCAGGCACGGGGAGTGAGGGTGGGAGCCTGAGGGCAGGAGCCTGAGGACAGGGGGTGGAGAAGGACGTGGGGCAGGAAACAGACTGGAGGGTGGCCTGGAGGACAGGTGGACAGGGAGGGGAGTCAGCGGAGTGCTGGGGGACAGGAACCAGGAAGCCGGAGGGCATCCGTCTCTTTCTCCTCTGTCCTGCTGGGCTCCTTGGGCTGAGAGGGAGCAGGGTGGTGTGGTTGGAGGTGGACTTCAGGAAGGCCCCCCTGGTCACAGGGTAGAGGACGGACGGTGTGGGGGGCAGTGCAGGAGGCGTGAGATGTGGCAGGAATTCTACCCTGAATCCAGGTGAGGGTGAGGGAGAGGGTAGCTTAGACTGAGGCTGGGGGTGGGGGGCAGAGACGTGTCTGGATTCAGCAGGGATTGGAGAGTCCACCTGACTGGGCTTGATCTGGGGGTATATTGGAGAGTGTGCCTCTGGGTCTCTGGCTTGGCCGAATGGGGGGACAGCGGTGCCATTCCTGACATGAGGACCCCTGAGGAGGAACAGGTTGGCAGGAGTGTTTGGTTGGGACACGCAGGACTGGAGTGCTGTGGGATATCCAAAATGAGATGACCAGGAGGCAGGCAATTGGCTGTATGGTCTGGACTTAGAGTAAAAGTCTGGACTGCACCCAGAGAACGTGACTCACCCCATGGGGCTGTTGTGCCCTCTGGGCCCCTGACATTCTTTTGAAGTCAGCCCCGTGTCCCCCACGGCCTCCAGGTGTCCCTCCCAGGACCTCCTCTTTATCATGGTCATGGCCCTGCACCCAGGCTGGCTAGTCAGGCCCTTCGCACAGGGCAGGCCTCAGGCCTGAGCGTGTTGTCCATTCCAGAAGAGTAGGCATCACTGTTTTCTCTGAGGACCCCTGACATGGAGCCATTATCAATGTCTTAGTGTAATTTTAAAGATTTTACTTATTTATTTGTCAGAGAGAGAGAGAGAGCACAAGCAGGGGGAGTGGCAGGCAGAGGGAGAGGGAGAAGCAGGCTCTCCACTGAGCAGGGAGCCCGATGCGGGGCTCGATCCCAGGACCCTCGGATCATGACCTGAGCTGAAGGCAGACGCTTAACCAACTGAGCCACCCAGGCATCCCGGGCCTTAGTGTAATTTTAATGTGTGAGTCTGTTTCCTGTTTAGAAAATAGAAGAAGTGTTCACATTCCAGCTCTCCCACTCACTAGCTGAGTGGGTTTGGGCATTTACTTCATCTCTCTAAAGCTTCAGTTTTCCCACCCATGAAGTGGGAATAGGAATCCATGCTGCACAGGTTGTGAAAGATTCAGTAAGATAATAACTTATCTTTATTCTCCTTTGCTTTCACCTCGCCCATTCCTTTGAGGTTTCTGCATAGCTAGGAATGGCCAGCCCGGGTGGGTGTGTATGGGGGTGTTTTCATCCATGTCTGGAAAGTTCAGAGAGGGTTACCATGAAAAAAATTGGTGATTGAAGAAGACAGAAGCCCATTTTTCTACTCCCAACCATTCCTAACTGTCCAATAAAGCAATGTACATTTTCATTTCTTCTCACTTAATAAGACAACAATAATAATAGGTAGCATTTATTGAAGGTTTATCATGTGCTAGACATCGGGCTGGCATTCAACCCATTCCACAGACAGGCAACTGAGGCTGCAGGAGGAGAAATGATTGACCCCAGGTTGCAAGGTATTTGATGCCAAATCCCAGGCTCTTCCCTCCAGACAGATCTGAGGTCCCACATGAGCATGAAAACACTCCATACATGCGCTCTAAAGGAGGTTACCGATCAGAGCTGACTATTTCTAGCTGAAAAGCAAGGGCAAAATGAATGGGAGTAGTCAAGGCAAAAGAGAAGGAAATGGATTTGGACACAGAGAAGACAGAAGCCCTGGGGCCACCTGTGTGGGTTTTATGATAGTCATGGACTTAATTTTATTTTGTTTAAACAATTTAAAGTCTTAAAATTGGAAGTGTACACATTTATACAGAAGAAGAGGGAATAGTATATCGAACCTGCCTATTCCCATCACCGAATCCCACAGCCAGTCTGGTTTCGTGGGCCCCCCCACCTGCTCCCCCGCTCTAGACAGCCTATCATTTCGTCATGCATCTCAGGTGTGAAGGAAGTTTGCTTCCCCCCATGGAACTCTTAAAGCTGTGCAGGAATGACCTGGTGCACAAGGTCAAAGCTTCACAAGCCCCTGTGCGTCTCCAGTCTTCATCCGAGAGCATTCAGACTGCCATGGCCACAGGCATGGAATATGACATCGAAGAGTCCTAAAATGTGACAGAAAGTTCTTTTTTTTAAAAATTTTTATTATGTTATATTAGTCACCATACAATACATCATTAGATTTTGATGTAGTGGTCCACGATTCATTGTTTGCGGATAACACCCAGTGCTCCCTGCAGCACATGCCCTCCTTAATACCCATCACCAGGCTAACCCATCCCTCCACCTCCCTCCCCTCTAAAACCCTCAGTTTGTTTCTCAGAGTCCATAGTCTCTCATGGTTCATCTCCCCCTCTAACTCCCCCCCTTCATTTTTCCCTTCCTTCTCCTAATGTCCTCCATGCTATCCCTTATGTTCCACAAATAAGTGAAACCATATGATAATTGACTTTCTCTGCTTGACTTATTTCACTTAGCATGATCTCCTCCAGTCCTATCCATGTTGATGTAAAAGTTGGGTATTCATCCTTTCTGATGGCTGAGTAATATATATATGGACCACATCTTCTTTATCCATTCATCTGTTGATGGACATCTTGGCTCTTTCCATAGTTTGTCTATTGTGGACATCACTGCTATAAACATTGGGGTGCACGTACCCCTTCGGATCACTACATTTGTATCTTTGGGGTAAACACCCAGTAGTGCAATTGCTGGGTCGTAGGGTAGCTCTATTTTCAACTTTTTGAGGAACCTCCATACCGTTTTCCAGAGTAGCTGCACCAGCTTGCATTCCCACCAACAGTGTAGGAAGGTTCCCCTTTCTCCACATCCTCGCCAACATCTGCCGTTTCCTGACTTGTTAATTTTTGCCATTCTGACTGGTGTGAGGTGGTATCTCATTGAGGTTTTGATTTGGATTTCCCTGATGCCGAGCGATGTTGAGCATTTTTTCATGTGTCAGTTGGCCTTTTGGATGTCTTCTTTGGAGAAATGTCTGTTCATGTCTTCTGACTGACAGAAACTTCTTCTTCTTCTTTTTTTTTTTTTTAAGATTTTATTTATTTATTTGAGAGAGAGAGAATGAGAGACAGAGAGCATGAGAGGGAGGAGGGTCAGAGGGAGAAGCAGACTCCCTGCCGAGCAGGGAGCCCGATGCGGGACTCGATCCCGGGACTCCAGGACCATGACCTGAGCCGAAGGCAGTCGCTTAACCAACTGAGCCACCCAGGCGCCCCAAGACAGAAACTTCTTAAGTGACGGTCCACATTGCCAGGGTTTGAGTCCTGCTGGCTCCACCACTTACTAGCTGGGGAGGCTTGGACAAGCTTCCGGACCTTTCAGTGCCTCTGTTTCCTCATCTGAGAAATGGGGTGAATAGTGCCTCTGTCACAGGGCTGTCATGAGGACGAAGTTCGCTAATGTACAGCCCTAAAAGCATAGCTTGGTGCACAGTGGGCCCTCGAGAAATGTCAGCCGTCCCTCCACCCACTGAGGGAACGTTAGTGAGCGCCTGCTGGGGCCATATGCTGGGCCAGGAGCCGGGCTCATAGACATGAATAGACATGAAGGGTCTCAGCCCCCAGGGAGCTCCCCATCCAGTGGGGATGCGGACCCAGGAGGAGACACTTCCCAGCAATGGGCTGGCTGCGATGACAGTGGGCTGTGCCCCAAGCAGTTCAACCTTCTCGATTCACAAG